CTTTTTCTCGCGCGGCTCGTGCTTGCTGCTGCTGCTGCGGCGGGCTGCTGCTGCTGCTGCTGGTGCTTTTTCATTTCGTTTCGCATGCATGCATCCAACAAACAAACCGCGTGCGTGTGTGCTTCTTGTCTCCGCTGGATTTACCACCCAACCAAGTGGCATTGGAGGCGGTGCCATGCCTTGCGCCAGTGTGCTGCATCGGCGGCGGGGTAGAACTGCTGTGCATGCGATGTATCTCTACTGCTGCTGCTGTATCCATGTAGACTATCACCATGTAATCGTGTTTGGGGTAAAGAAATACGGCGCCCTCTCCTCTCTCTCTCCTCCGGTTTCCGACAGCACCTACATACAGCAGTACAGCAGTCAGTGTAGTTATCGGTCACTCATCACATTCTTCACGTGAGGGTTACGCTGCTGTTGGGCACTAAACCTTTGTGGCACCATGGGGTGCGTGCGGTTGACCCATGTGGGAACCTGTTGGTGCGCAAACAAACGTGCAAACGTTCAAGTGCGGGTGTCGTGTGTGTGTGTCTCATGACTCATCGGTCTATTCGGTCCCGGCAGAACAAAAAAAAACGCGGAAGATCCAGAAAGAACCCAGTCACGAAAGGGTTAAGAAGGAAAAAACGCCCCGCGAATGGCTGCTGCTCCCGAGGGCGTGCAATATGTCAAAGTGCAGAGATATCTGAGCATTGATGGGGTATCAGCGTGGGGTGGACTTGAAAGACGCCATGAAATGGGGTGAAACGTCGTCCGTCCTTGGCCGGAGTGGGGCGCCCGCAGGTAGGAATGTAGGATTCAGCGAGACACCGAACTTCACCTGCAGTGGGTCAGCCTAAAGCAACCGTATGCAAAACTACGCTGATGAGTTCGTCGGCTTCATGTTGCTAAGAACCGGGAGATCGACTCTCCTACCCACATCGCCACCCGAGTGCCGGTCATCAAAGCTTCAGCAGTACAACAAGTAGTGCAACGTAGGCCGCGCGGCTTTGGATGTTCAATGTCTACCGGAGCCATCTCAAAAACCCTCACGACAACTAGTCCTGACCTTCCGCCGACCGTGATGCAGGAGGCGCGGATGAACCACGGATGCCGGCCCACCGTTCCAGATAGCTTCTTCTCCTCTCGGAACTGCTGCTACCGCTGCTGCTGTTGCTGCTGTTGCTGGTGATGGAACTGGTGCTCGTGCGCCAACAAACGCGGCGTAACATGCTGCTTTCATCCGTCCCTGCTGCCGATGTCAACCATGGTGGGGGCTGTCGTATCCAGGCTCTGCATATGCTCGAGCTCGCCGGTGAACGCGCATGAATCATGCCCGATCGCCACAGCGAGATCTTGGCCTGGCGATCGCAGACCCACACGCGAGCAAGTGTGAGACGCATCGTGTCGAGACGTACCGGAGGGGGTCCGCAGATGCGGAAGGAGTACACCCTACCGCAGTGTGAAACCGATGCTAGCCGTGTGGCTCCTTCCTCGAATGTAGATGCTGTGGTTCGTTGATAGAGGCAGTAGCAGTTAGGAAGCAAGGCGAAAGTACATACCTACGCGAGGGCCAGGAAGAAGCTCAAGGCATCATGATTCCTCGTGTGCTTGGTTTCATTGCGTGTGGAGCCTGCGCCGCTTCCGCCTTCGTTGCCCCCTCCGTGCTTCGATCACAGCAGCAGCATGGCGATAGAGCTTCACGACACAGCAGCCGAAGCAGCTCCGTGGGCCATCGCCGGCAGGCGATGTCGATAGGAGGGGAGCCGCAGTCCCGCCGAGACGTCATTGCAGGCAAGGATGCGAGAGAGGAGGAAGATCTGGCCGTTTGCAACAAGCTTTTTTTCGGGAGTCGATGATGTTGTTGTATCCAGCCAGTGTGCGCATGTTCGTCTGACTCCTTTTGGCTCCGAAACGTTGAAAAACCATGTGTGACGGTTGTGTCCAGCTGGTGGTGTCGATCCCTACCGCAGCAGTAGACTACAAGTATGCATGTCTCGTCGTCGTGCATGCACACGACAAGCACTAGTGCGACACACTTACGTTGTCGCCTGAGAGTAGCTTCGTCGTTCCTTCCCGTGCTTTTGCAGCATTGCTGAATCCAAAACCGAATCAATCCGCTTGTTTTGGGGCAAATCCTAATCCTCCAGACTCTGGTTTCGATGTTCAGGGGGCTCAGTACTCACAGCTACTACCACGGCTGTTGTTGCTGCTGGTCAGGAAGTTATGTAGCGAGCCACACATCACCTTCCCGTAGTGGTCTCTGAGGGTATTGCAGCACGCAGTCAATTGGTTGTTGCCGAACCGAAGAAAGAAGAAGGAACTGAATTTCGAGCTCCGCTCTGTCTGTGCAACAGCTTTATTATTATAGTTGCGGAAGGCAGCATTCTTCACGTGGCCGATGACATCCTTCCATTGCTCGCATGCAACCATCTACTCGCTCGGGATGACCCTGCTCACGACCCCCCCCCCCCCGTTGTTGTGCCCTTCTCACACCCACCGTGGAACCCGCCCGTCCATCACATCACACATCATCACACACCCGCAGGGGTGGGAAAGTCGGTGGCGGCTGTCGTAGGCGTGACGACGCTAGGGTCGGCCTTAGTCCCGGACGAAGCCGCGGCGTTCGGGCCTATCAAGATGGAGCTCACGGAGCCGGAGTACGCCTCGGTCGTGTGCCCGCCAAAAACGCAGGCGAGTATCTTCGGTGCCTGCCATCACGCAAAGCGTTCCGACGTTCCTGCCCCGGGTTGAGGAGTAGATCAGATGCCAACTTCGGGTGGTGCTCAAGACACGCGATTGTGTCTATCGGAGCACCTGTGTTCGTTGACGCGCGTTTTCCTCGGAGTCGCCTTTTTTTTTGTTCCCGTGTACCAAAGAATGCCCTAGACAACATCGATGCGTTCGGTCTGCTAGTGCAACTTGGTCTTGAAAGAGTTTGCATTTTTTTGTTTTCTCCAAGAGGCTTGTGTTGGGGTAAAGACCCAGCTGAATAATTAGTTTTTCCTGACGAAACCAAAGGTAAGCATCCCCTCTCGTGTGTCGGTTCCGAGGGGGGGGAGGGCCTTCGTCCTCAAGTTTGTCGTGTAGCTTTGCGTTGAGAAACCCGCATTTTCTCCTTCTCGACCATCAAATACTTCGTAGCCTTTTTTTATTTTAGGTCCATGCGATGACTGCAGAGGTAAGGCCCGGGTTCAACGTGATGCGAGTTAAACGTCGTGACCGCTACTGCAAATTTCGGGGGGAAGTGCTGCACGGGTACATAGCCGTACATAGCCGTACGCTGTGGGGAGCTTCTTGCTTGCCACCTTGCGTATGGTGCCGAAGACAGCAGGTCCTGCGCTAAATGCAGGAGGTATCCCGTGTACTCCCCTATTTCATCCGAGCCCACCTATCGAACGCCTGGAGAGGCTGAGGGCAAGAGAGACAGAGACAGAGAGAGTCAAGACACGACAGACCAAGAAGCAGAGGGAGAGCTGCAGCATATGTGGAGGCGGGGCAACGACAATATAAATCGTGGTTTATATGCATACACATCCCTCTTTAGTTTTGAACCGGTCGTGCGGCTCTGCATGCCCAGTTCCCGTGAGCTGCTCAGCGGGACACCCGTCATCCGTCCTCCGCTGTTTTGGCGTGTCTTGTTGTTGTTACCCGCAGGTCCCAGGGGAAAAGGCGGGAGCGGGGCTTAAGCCAGTCTGCGTAAAGGTGAGAGCCATCACGATGTGGTTTAACGCATGTGTCGGGTTCCCGTTAGCGTCCCCCGAGGTTCGTCAAGCGTGGCCTCGACGGCCGGGGTTGGAAGAATGTGCCGAGCTGCTTTGTTGAGATATCTCGAGAGCACTCGACAACAGCAGAAGAGCGCCCGACGGTGAAGAAGAGCTGCATACCTTAGGTGGCATGACGTAAGATACCACACACCCCGGTTCCGAACTTCAATGCTTGACTACTCCACGACGAAGAGGATATGTCAACCAAATGATACATTTTTCGGAAAGCTCTCGACAAGACGGTTCGAACGCCGCCATTTTCGGCACCGACAACTCTTTTCTGTGACGGAGTATTCTGCAGTAGCTTTGAAAACGGTTGAGGGAGTGCGATATCTTGCGTCACCTACCGTATTATTCTGTGGCTTCTGTAAGCCATCAGTGCAAGCGAAAGTATCGTCGGTTTGGTTTTCCTGCATGTTGGTCCTGTGCTCCTTTGTGAGTGATTTTTTTTTTCGGTTGAATGTGATGGCCCTCTCGGCCTGGGAACAACAAGAGACAATCCCGTCCTCCGCTGTTGAATCGGCAATTATTACCTGCTCCTAAGACTCTATCGCGGAGCAGCAGGAAGGGGTTCCAGGCGTGAATAGCTGCCCGTGTCTTGGTGCTTTCGAGGCCGATGCTGACGGCAGTTACACTGGTTCCGGTTCGCACTTCTTTTGGTGTTCCTCTTCAGGTGACGGTTACGGCGAACAACCCTAGCCCGAAGGAGGTGGTGGACGCGGCGGTCTTCGGGTTCGTGTTCGACGAGGATTCGACGTCGGTGGTGGCAAACAACCCCGATGGCGCATCTGACGCCGGCCAGGTGAACAGTCGTTGGTTGTGATGTCGTTGTTGTTGGATTTGTTTTTTTTGTTACTTTTGTTGCTGAGACCTTTTTCTTGTTGTTTTTCCGTTGTTGTTGTTGTTGTTGTTGTTGTGGCGGTTGGCTTTTTTTCGTCAGAGGGGCGTCGTCGCCCCGTTCCACTTCAAAAAAAAATCTAGGTTTTTCATGCGCACGACTCACACATACATACGGTTTGCGTTTTGGTCTCTATTTGTGTCCAGAGCCCGCCCAGTCTTTTCCAGTGTCAGCACCAAGGACGCATGCATCGTTGTCAAAACACGTGTCCGTGTTCGGTGGTGTTGTCGTTATTTCTTCATGTTTTTTTTTGCTTCTCCTTCGGGCTCTTCCGTTCCCGCGCGCCGCCGCAGTTCGCCATCATCGACAAGATTCCCAAGGGCAGCAGCCGGGTCTCCTTCCAGTTTGTGGCGGCCATCGAGCCCGACGAGGATTTCAGCCTGAAAAAGCTCAAGTTCAAGTCCCTGAAGGTACATGCGCGCTGCACCCCGTTTAGCCCTGCAAGCGTGTGCTGGCTTTTCCATCTTTCACCCACGTCTTTTGTTGAATAACAATCTGTATTGCTGCTTTGTATGCCCGCCAAGTTTTGTTGCTGGACCGTGCTAGATACCTAAACCTGTTTTCTTGTACAGTACTCGTCCGCTGGACACACGCGTCTGCATTTTTTCGTGGTGGTGCTTGGGGGAGGAACGGCTCGGTCGTCGCTCTTGCCGCAGTGTTGTTTCGTTCGCTCCCGTTGGTGTCTTGGACGCAGTAGTCCACGCAAGTTTCTCTAACTAAGCTAACATATCGGATGGAAATTAGAATCGGCTGCGTTGGGGTTGGGGTTAGGGTTAGGGTCTGCGTGCCCCCTGCCTGGTTATATTTTCGTAGACAGTCCGTTCGACGTCGAACTGCACTCAAACCAGCTCACCGTGTGTGCGTCGCGCGTATCCCTCATCTACGCGCTGGTTTTGGCCCAACAAAATTACGGATGTTGATGGCCAGCTTCTGGTTCATCCTTGTGAGCCGTAGCCTTTGACGCGGCGAGAAACCGGCATACATACATGTCTCTTCGTCCCAGCATTGTAGGGATGCGAGGCCAATGATCTGACGACTACGGCATGCGTTTGGTTGAGTAAACCCCTCCCCGCCCGCTAGTGTTGTCGCATAGACGTCTACCGTACCGACAACACACCTCTCCGCCCGCTATTGCTTTTGTCTCCCTCTACCGTTCGACTCCCCCTCTTTCAGGCAATTTCGTACGCGGGGGGGCAGCAGTACGGCGCGATCACGGAGTGCGAGATGAACCCTCTGGCAGCAGAGTGCGACTTCGACTAGAATCCCAGCCGGCGTTTTGTTCGTTTCGAACGGGTTGGCTTCGTTCATAGTATCATCGCCACATCTCAACTACAGCACGGTAGATCGTGGATGAGCGTATATTAGATCGGACGTTACAGGCTAGAGCGTATTTTGGATGGGTAGTTAGAGGATAGTGGGCATACGGAGTAGAGCTTAGTGTACGGTGTTGAAGATTGTGTTGCAGGCTGTTGCCCTTTGCTGCTTCATGGTAGTGATCTTTGAGGTGTTGTTACCGCTGGACCACTTCCGGCTGGGGGATGCTACCCCTTGAGTTACGTCGTTGCTACGGAGCCCGTATTGCGTGTACGACAGCAGCGTTAGTTTTTCGTTTCAGGTGCGTGCCTTTGGCATTTGAGACAGCTAAGACGGCCAATAATAACCTCCAGAGTCAGCGTGAGCGGATGCACTGCTTGCCATGTGCACGTCAAGAGTGACTGCTGAACGAAAATACACGATGTGATACCGGCGGTGCTTGTCCCCCGAGGTATTTTCTTGCGCCCTGTTATCTTGCCATGTCGCTCCCTTCTTTCGCGTAAATTAGCATCTCGCTCGAGCCTGATTCAATTACTTGCATATCTGATAGATCGGAGGGGAGGGTAACATATTCGAGGCGAGAGGGGCAGCCATGGGGGGAATGACGCCCACAATTTAATGCGGTTCACTGTCAAACGCAAGAGCTCCGACACATTCTCGGTGTTTTTGTGCCGCTCTTTTTTCATGCGGGCTTTTGCGTCCTGCGTTCTGCTCAATCCTCTCCGTCGTTCCGTGATTGATGATGCATCGGCACGCGGCGGCATTGTTCTTGACTGCAACTCCACTAGAGGCTGCCACGAGGTCATTCTAGAGGTTCGACAATTATTTTCCGTGACAAGCAACTTCTACGCGTGCGTACAGGGGGGTTAGACTTGCCGAGACACCCGTCATGATGACAACCCCGTTCTCCAAAGCGGAGAGCAGGGAAGAGGCGGGAGAATAATTGAACGTTACAGAATTCGGTCCGGAAAACCCTCCCTATAAGGACGAGCAAGACCAGCGTCTCTTAAGAAAGTCGATTTGCACCTTCGAACGATCGATGCCTTAAGGGACTGAAGACGCAAACACAAAAAAAGCTAGACGACGAAACGAGTCGGAGACACACACCCCTTTCGCGTCGCCGAAGAGGTATGACACGGAGGCAAGCAACAAACGTCATCCCGTACAGGACTAACAACGTGACAGTTGTAGGTCGGTAGTGCTTGGTAGTACCACTAGCGCTCCCACCAAGGGCCTAGATGATGTGCGAGAAAAGTGTCAGATGGATGAAGACCTTCACAGGTGAGTGTTATCCGATGCTCGGATTCAACGGGTCGCGATCGAAAGTTGGGGCCTATTCGGGGATGTGAAAAGTAACTCAAAAAGGCCCAAAATATGACGTTGATGTAAGCATATTGCGGTGCTGTTGCAGCCCGGGTGGATGAAGACTACACACAAAAGCCAGACACACAGAATGAATGGAGCAGCACAAGACGTCTTCTGCCCGGCTCGACCACCGCCCTTGCGGCGAACGCAGACGTACGGTACCACAGAGCAAGCACCAACGAAAGGACTCCTCACGAAGCAACCGAAGCCTTAGTTCGCCTCGAGGGGTGGGGTGGACGCGGTCACATGGCATACACTAGCACTCGAAACAGACAAACACGAGAAAGATCGCAACGGAGAGACAAAAAAAGTACCATCTGAACAACGTGCAACCACCATTAAAACATGCAAAATTGAAACAAGCACACAAGAGGCAAATAATTCAACGTGGAAAATTGCAACATGGACCAACCAACAAATTCACACCGCCCCTACTTTACGTACATTTTTCGCACCATGAATCTCCAACGCACACGGGGCATGGGCTGTACACCTATCTGTCATCAAGCTTTTTTTTGTAAAAACCCGGAGTAAAAAACATAAACCTCAATGAAAAAAAAAATCGCAGTGACGCAAAACTCTCGGTGTCGGTCTCCGCGAAGCAACAATAAACCCAGGAGGCTTTTTCAACCTACGGGGACAAAAAAAATATGGAACGATATTTCGTACGTACATTCAGAAGCGAGACGGGAGAACACCGAAATCGAACCACCCCTAAACAACCGACCATAACCTTCACCGAAAAAGAACAACACGTACATGGCCACCGAGCCTACCCAATTTATGCAGTGATATTGTGCCATCGTGTCGAGTCAGCCCGAAAGTCTACATGCAAGCGCAAGCGACCAGGGGGTCGACGAGGCCAACACATGCGACGTGGCCCCCATCCGTCCTCAAATGTTATGTACCATTACTACTATACTACTATACTACTATACTCAACAAGTGTCCATTCCTTCCAGTCCGACCATCTCTCTTCGATTTCAACAGGGACGCTAGGTCTACGCGCGTTCAGGCAGACAAAACAAAACACACGCCAATAAAAGCTACTCCAAGAGCGTGCTATTCGTCGCTGTGGGGCATACTAGCTCCCGACCAAGGCGAGCTGCTCTCGGAACGGCGACTTCTTCGATCGATCGAGAGCACACAAAAAAGTTCCAAACACCAAACACCACACAACACACCATTGCTCCCGATACTCACATCACAACCAGCGCTCGCCCTGGCCATGAGGGTGCGTTTCGAGAGATACACCACAGATTTTTCTCCAAGACAAAACAAAGCTCGGGTAGTCATGGGGGTGCGGTTCGAACGACCCACACAACAGACTTTCCTCCTAGACAACAAAGCTTGGGTAGTCACGGGATGTCTTTCGAACGTTTCACACAACGGACTTTTCTCCTAAATTGACAACACAACACAAAGCTCCTCCTAGATAACAAAGCTCCCCCTCATTACTGGGCGTACAGCACGCACACACAACATGGACAGTTCTTCCTCCTCTTCTTCTCTCGCGCCACATCTCTCACGGAGACTTGGCCCTCCTGCTGCTTCCATCGCCCCCCTTCCTCGGCCGCCTCTTCCGGTGCCTCGAAGCGCCACGGCGCGAGCCCCTCGCACCGCCATCCTCAACAGCAGCACTACCATCACCCCCACCAGGCCATCGGCCGGTTCCAGCTGCCTCGACGGAAGCGCCAACCTCTTCCTCCACCACCGCCTTGGTTGCCACGAGCGTCTCCGAGGCGAAAAACGCAGACGGGGGAAGAAGAAGAACACGCGCACCCGTAGCACCACCATCGCTCGGGGAGACAGCATCGCCGTCAAACGCTACGGCCTCCCCCACCCCCGACGCTTCCGACCGCTTCCCGAGGCCGGCGCCACCTCCCCCGTTATCGGGAGATCCCGCCCCCCCCTCCCCGGGAGAAAACGCCTCCGTTTTCTCCTCCTCCCGGGCAGGGGCAAAACCCCAACCCTCAACGCCCACCGAGGAATACAGATGGGCCCCGTCGATCGCATCACGCGGGGTACCACCGCCGCCGCCGGGGGGCCCGTCGTCTGCGGTGAGGGTACCCCTTTCCGAGGTGGAGGCGAGCCTGGCGCGAAGCAGCCGCCCGAGCCCGACACGCCAGCCTTGGAAAACGGCCGCTAGCGCGGCCATGCGTCGATCCTCGAGCCGCTGCCGGAGCCTCAGCTGGTTCCCCGCCAGAGCCAGGAAGCACCTGCGGGCGTGAGCGCACGCGCCCCCAAGAGAACCAAAAATCGGGCAGCGGGTGGCGGCGGTGACAAGACGCTTAGATACATTGCGCGCAGGTGTCAGGACCGCACGTCCGGAGGATAACAACCACGGCAACAACAAGAGCAAGTGCAGCAGCAGAGCTTCAACACTACTACCGCAACTAGCAGGAGCAACCAAGCAGGCAGCAGCGGGTGCAGTTGAGCTGCAACCATGACCCTCTCTCCTACTTTTACATACTTGCAGCCGCCACAGCAGTCGCAGTAGCAGCAGCAGCACGACCAGCACCACCACCCACCAAGATGTTGTAACTGCAACAGCCACCTCCTCTCCTACATACTCGCAGCAGCAACCAACCTCTGCAGCCAAGCCTCCCTCGCTCTCAGGGCCATCCTCCTCGCTGCCGCCCTCCGCCGGGCCCACGCCCTCCACCTCACGAAGCGGCCTCGGGTCCCCGCCAGGCCGCTGAGGGCCGAACGGGCCAGCGCGCTCTTCTCCAGGGCGAGCTCTCGCCTGCGCACGTTGGCCCTTGTCGCGTCCCTCCAGGCGCAGAAGCAGGACTGGCGGAAGGAGAAGAGACCACAACAACAAGATACCGTATCCAGTCAGTATTTCTCCCACTCCATGTACATAGAAGACTTGAACACATCCCCTCTCGATTACTACCGCAAGGATGTGAGAGAACGCACGGGGGTGCGATCGACTTTCAAAATATTTCGTTTTGGAGTTATTATCGCACGGATACAGATCACCGGTACGTGCGATGTCAACGACCCCCGTGCGATATTGTAACCGAACAAAATCAGTTCGACCCTGACCGTTTTTTGCACTGGGGGTACGATAACCCCGATACGTACGATACTGCGTAAACAACAAACCCCACGGCAGTAGTACTGGCTGCTTTCGACATACACCCCAGTGCGGAAACTCCCACATGTGCGATACCCAGCCTGTCACGGCCGTACTGCAGAACAATGACACACACAACACACACGTGATATCATACGTACAGTGCGTACTACGTTCCACGATGACACCGCGAGGTATATACCTCCGGCAGAGTGAGAGGCCCGGACCCACTCGGGGCACGCGGTGTCGGTGATACGTGTGACAGTCGAAAAATTCTTTCCGTTCTTACTTTTTGTGTCTCGTTAGGGGATGCGATATCACCGGCACGTGCGGCATCACCGAGCCCCGTGTTCTGTCGAATCCTTACGGCACTGCGGTTATACTGTATCTCGAACGGGTAGATAGTATTTCTGTGGTTGCAATACATTCTCCAAAAAATACAAACCACGCAAAAAACACCATGGATGCCGCAGCACACCAACAGCGGTATTTTCATCGGTAGCGGGCGACGATTCTCATTTTTGCACAGATGCAGGCGAAAGCTCGACTACATGTCGGCAGGACATCGTCGAATACCAAAAAAAAAAACGATTGTTACTCGAAACATCAATTCACAGGGCGTGTTCCATCTAATCTGCCGTCTCCGCGCGCACCTTCCGACCTCCTTGTAGCTGGGAAAGCGCCATCTTCCGCACTGCCACAGACTTCCTGGTCGACTCTTTCCAGGCCATGAACACCGCTCGCTTCGACCCACTGACGTACCTGCGGCGAGTTAACAAACACGCACACAATCACACACACAGAGAGTGAGGCAGGCAGATCCTGGCGTTTAGAAGCGTTTTCTGCTTTTCAACCGCACTGAGACTGACGCGTATTGATTGGTCAGCCGGACAGCGCCGTCGACGCTAGTAAAAAAGACACCCATGAGAACGGCATACAAATCGCCCCGAAAGTAGAAGCCACGACGAGGGTGGGCGGCGTAAATCAGGAGGAAGCAAGGGGATAAACGGGTTTTGCTAAAATAAGCACCGCACCAAAGCAGTGGTAAACAAGATGCGGTCACAAAAGGATGCTTCGCCGCTTGGCGGCGTGTTGGCGATAATCATCCTCCTTGCTAATCAAAACCGCGTGACCTTAAAAGAGGAGTACTCATGTACGCTATCTTCCGGCTGTATTACGGTCCAGCCCGACATTTGCGAAAGGGGTGCTGAACAGGCGGGAAAACGTTTCGGGACACGGGTTGAGGTGCCTCGGCACTGCTGACGGCGTTTGGGAGAGAGCGGGGAGAAAACAAATCCTCACAAGCTGTGGACGAAAATTAGAGCAAAGGGAAGCATACGATTTCGGCCATTCATCATTAGTCCCCAACATAGACGTACGCGTTGTACGAAGGGCAGGCACTAGCTGCTGCTGCTGCACCGAGACGAACACCCCTTGGCCTTACGCCAAGTCCCTCTCCCTCCCAACCCAAAACACGTATGCTACACAAAACGCTAGAGAAACGCAACAGCACCCCAACACGATGAAAGCAACCATAACAAAACCTCTCTTCTCCCCTTTGCCTTGACGAACCCTCTACGTCCCCCCAAGCACACAAAACACAAAAAGAGAAAGATGGTGCACAAATATACTCAAGCATACACGATACAACCAAAGACCCCAAAAAAACGCCTCTCTCACTTGATGACGAACTCCCGGATTCGCCTCGATCGGTTAGCCTCCCCCCTCCAGGCCGTGAGGACTCTCAGCGAGAGCGAGTCCGTTCTCCACTTGACCACCTGCCGCGCGTTGCGGCAGGCTCTGGTGTGCTTGGCCCATGCGAGAAAGGCCGCCTTGCGCCCCTCGAGCATGTGCATCAGGATCCTCTCCTGCGAAGCACGAAATAACGCATTCTTCTTGCTTTCATGGCACATTTTCTATTTTTTGCGTCTGGGTGGAAAGTGTCTTGTGTACATTCGTACAGATCGATAAACACCCTGGGGGGAGGCTGTTACCGCTGCCTGGCAACGATCGGTCAAAAATACAACAACAACAACTATTACATAGATCCGTACCAAAAGCCCACTCCCGCCAGATGCATTGCCTGAACCTTCTATTGGGACCAGCCGCCGGCGGTACTGCGGGTGCACGGGACGGGCGTGTCCCACGTGCACAATTGCTGTTGGCGGCAGCAAAGAGCCGTGATCGCGGGAAACCGCACCGAAACTCCTTCCCCCACAACAACTCTCAACATCGCAACGCTAAGCAGCACGCCACCGAACACCACAACCGGCCAAAAACTAACACAAATCTTGCCGCCCGGGAGGGTTGCCCATCACGATTATCCCTTGCCTACCCGGAGGATAAACTAACCCGGGTTGGGTTGCTGGACACACGCAACACACCCGTTCTCCACAACGGAGAGCGCATCTTTACCTTTATCCATGCCGCCCGAGCCTCTCTCTCTCTTGCGGCCCTCAGAGCGTCCTCCTCCGCCTGCCGCCTCTGTCGCATCGCCAGGAGCATGGCGGAGCCTTTGCCAGCCGACGTTTCTCGCGCCGCCTGGCCGCCAACAACAGGCCAAGACCGAAACATCAAACATCGAGCAAGGGATAAATTAAACACCGAGCAAGGGATATATTTAAACATCGACCAAGGAATAAATTAGGGGGGGACGGCACACGCAGCACGGTTTCACAGTTTGCAGGAAGGCCTCCCAGTGGAAATCATGGACACCCCCCAGGCTGAGGGTCCACTTAGTAGTTACCACGAACAACATTAACAGCAACAGCAACAGCAACAACAGCAGCAGCACCACCACCACCAACAACAACAACAACAACCACAACCACAACAACAACAACAACTGCGCTAAAAAAAACTACAACACAGACAGCAACAGGGCGCGATCGCCACTCCCGACGACCGTGACGTGAGCAAGGGTGGTTACCTGAATGAGCCGGAAGTGGTCCGCTCGCTCTTGGTACCTCCGTCGAACGCTCTCCCGGCCCTCCTGCCGCATGTCCAGCGGCGAAGAGCACTGCCGAGCGATTTTTCGTCGTAAAATAATATGCTGTTTCGATTACGTTTGATCTTTAGCTACGGGCTAACATCCAACAGAGTAGCCACCACGGACGTTGTTCTTCATGCAAGAACGGTGGTGTGAGCATCCCTCTCGTACGTACGTCCAAGTGCACATCAACTCCATCCAGCCAAAAAATACCCATGGAAACAACCAATGTGTACTCTGCAGGGGTGAAATATAAAAAAATTGCACAATTTTAATCGAGATCTCACCGCAGTGCTACCGGCCGCCTCGTCGAGAGCCGCGGCGAGAGCGTGCATGGCGGAGCCGTGAGGAACCTTCCAGTCCGAGCGCCTCAGGGGGGTTGTTATCGCCGACTCCGGCGGCTCATACCTGGTGACACACAAAAAAGAATTTACACAAAATTTTAATAAAATCGAAGATCACAATAAAATCGAAAAATGTCACCACAATTAGCGCGATATGAGATCCACCAGCGTTTTCAGCGTGAGGACTACCAACCAAATGAAGAATTATTCAATTTCAATTTAAGTTAGAAAATAAATACAACGGAAAAAAACGTTTCTAGAGAAAATATTTCACCAACTTGCATACATATCCAAAAGAACCTAAAGTTATCACTAACCGTGGCCGTCGTGACCCGTCACTACCACGAGAGACAAACAGCGACGACAGCGGAAACAAACAAGCAAGATAGCCTGGCTATGATCATCACACCTCGCCACTTGATGGCCTCTTCATGTTTAGTATGGACGAGCGTTTGGTACTTGAACGAACCGCGAGAAGCATGGCCAGAAACACCAAGGAAAAGCGTAAAAACCGCTTCTTCAGGGTGCGATTCGCGCCCAGAAAAATCAAACTCGACGGACAACACAAGGACAGCGAATTCTTCAGGAATATCCTGGCTTGTTCTAACCGCCACACAGACACTTGAGCTAAATGGCAGTTTCAATCATAGTCTTTGGCAACATACTCGACGGTCGTAGCATAAGGAAACACATTTCAACAAGTACGCCACATAGAGCATTCTCCTCCCGAAAAGTCCCTTTCAACCACCGCCGCTGTAAAGCTATGTAGTTCTACCCACACCTACACCACATCAACACACACACACACACACTGTCACACACACGCACGCACGGACGGACCTGATGCGCTCGAAGTCTGGCCACGGGCGAGTCTTCGGCGCCGTTCTCTCCGAAGGTTTGAGCGTCGTCCTCAGCGGGCGCACGGCCGACCTCCCGGCGGCGCCCTCCCTCTTTGGCGACGCCGTGACGCCACCATCCAGCCTCGCCGTTGCTACCGCTGCCGCTGCCGCTGCCCTGCCGGGTTCATCTCCCCCCTTTCCTCGCCGCTCGGGAGTCGACCAAGCCGACCCCGACGACGAGCCTCCCCAGGCAACTTCCGAGCTACCACCAGCCACGACGTTGTCGGCATCGATCGAGGAACTTCCCGCGGCCGGGTCGGGGGAGCCGTCCGCGGCCGAGGGCCTGCGCGTGTTCGAGGAGCCGCCACCGATTAACGGGCAGCGGCCTTCGGGAGCGGCGGCGGCGGCGGCGGCGGGAGGGGGCGGCGACAGCGAAGGCGACGCCGCGCTCAGGAGGCGTCGGCGGGGCAGCGGCGGGGCCGAGGACGAGATGGGGTGCGGGGGAGTTGCCATGACGAAGGCGTTCCTCGAGCTGGTGGTGGAGGTGGCGGTGGCGGCCGCTGCAAGTCGTGTCGCGGACGCGATGGCTGCCATGCGGCCCTTGAAATCGATCAAAGTTTCCTGCAGAGCGGAGTCAATCGGAGGGGGGCACGAGTACGCCGGGGGTTTTCGCGGTGGGGGGGGGGGGGGAGGGCGAGGTGTTGATTACTTACGTGGCCGCTGCAATCGGTCAGACTCTTGGATGTATGGTACCAATGATCCGTGGCGGGATCGACGCGAACAAGGAGGTGGTGAACTGACATTTTTGGGTCCGTTGCTAAAAGCGACCGTGGTCTTATAAAAACACACACGTTCACAAGCGACGGAAAGGCACTCAAGGAGACCGACGTCGTGATGGCGTCTTCCGCACGTGCGCACCACCCACAGCGCAGCAAATTCCAACCGAAAACTTGGGTGCCGCCACCGCCTCTAACAAGACGCGCACAGCGCCAGCGTCCACGTAAGCTCACCTCGTCTTGCCGCACGACCGGCTTCCTCTTCCTCCTACGGCGGCGGCTGACCCCGCGCTCTTTGGGACACGCCTCCGCGCCCGCCCCTGCCCACGCACCCAACCCTTGCCCAGCCCCTCCTTCTTGACCACCCCTGCCACAAAAGTCTTCCGAAAACCGTTCCGACGAAGAGGCATTGAGCAGCTGTTCCTTGCGATTCGTCGATCGCTCCCGCCGACAGCTATCGGCAGCGCGGCTGCCAGCGCTGCTCTGGGAGCCGTCGCGGAGGCCGCCGCTCGTCTCCGCCCCGTCCCCGTCGGCATCCGCTTCAGTGGTGCTTCCTCCGCAGGAGTCGCTGTCGTCCGCGAGGTTGGGTTTCCGCTGGTTCAGTCGGCATTTTCGTCGCGCCCGGGCGGGGCGACGGGCCGCCGCCGCCACCGCCGCCGCCGCCGGTGTTCCACTCCGATCGCAATCCTCCTCGCCCTCCGCCCATTCCGGGGCTAAGCCCTGACCGCCGTCATCGCCGGCCGCTGCCGCCGCCGCCGTCGCGGCCGGCGGCGGGCGGCCGCTGCCGCCGCTGGGGCCGCTACAGTCTATACCTATGCTCAGCCTGCTGGACGCCCTGGGCTTGCCGCTGCCGGTAATGCCGCGATGGAGCGGGGCCGGAGGGGAGCAAATGCACGGGGTGGACGCGTACCCCGGAGTATCGGGACCTCTCGCCACCTTCGGCGTCATGGGAAACGCCGCCCCCCGTGTCTCAGGAGGTAGGTGCTCGCCGTCCGTCCCCGTTGGGCGCGACCGGTGTTGTCCTACCCGTGGCGTCGACGGGGTTGGCTGGCCGGGGCCCGGGGTATTGGAGGTATCCCCAAAGTTCCCGCCGCCGCTCTTGCCGAAGTAGAACATCTCTCGCTTCCCGCCTTCGTTGCCGCCGCCGCTACTGCTGCTCCTGCCGAAAGAGAAAACCTCGTCTTTCTGCTGCTCCCGTGCGGGAGAGAGGTAGCGCAAAGGCGACGGCCTCTTCGCCACCACCGCCATAACGTCGCTTAAGCCTGCGACGCCCCTGCCACAGCTGTTTCTGGCGTCGCTCGTGAACAGACCGCTGCCGACCTCCCGCCGAATAGCCGGCGGTGGCAGAAGATGTTGGCCCTGGGCGACGCCGCCGCCGCCGCCGCCGAGCGGAGGCACTCTCACACCACCCCCGGCAGCAGCAGCAGCAGCAGCAGCAGCCCGCCTTGGCTTGCTCGGCCTGCCCGTGCGTACCGGCGCGGGGGGGCTTTCCATGACGGTGGTCGAAGAGGGCGAACGCGCGACGACCGCTTTGGGGTGCTGGGTAGTAGTCTCGGTTACTGCCGCCGCCGCCGCCGCTGCCGGGGAGGGCGATAGCGTAAGACCCGCCGCCCCCCTTAAGTAACTGGGCGACCGCGTGACCTGGAAATTCGGGCAGTGTGAGCGGGAGAACTCATGTAAACGCATGCCGCTGTCGCTAGACCATTGACCTCGCATCCCTACAATGCCGGGATGGAGCGGTATGCCGGGAAAACGCCGGCTCTCACCGGGGGGGGGGGGGGGGGGGGTCACGGTGTAGCGGTGGGGATGATGACTATGGCGTTGGTGAAGCTAGCTAGCTTGCTGCAAGGCCTGCCTTAGCTCTCGAGAACTTTGTGTGTGCGTCCGGAGCGGAAGGCGCCATGCTCAAGATCAACGGTTGGCAGGAGATTCCATGTTTTTGTACGTACGTTTTCGGTGGGAAAAAACACAAAGGCACACAGCTTCAATCAGGGGGGGGTACATGGCACAGAGGACGCACCCGAACTTCAGCATCCGTACGACAGATGCACCCGGTGTCGTTGAAGGGGAACTCGTACCGACCGGCAAAACATTTAACATGTTCCTTTAAGGGCGAACTTGAGTCACGGCATTACCCTGCGTCTGACTTAGCGACGAATCAGCAAAAAACCAGCCGGGCTGCACGAAATCCAACGCCTCTCTTTGCACTGCTATGTCCACTGTTGATATGGCACATGACGCAGCAGGCATGTATGGCAGTTCCGGCACGTGTCACACTCAACTGTGTCGCATCTATCTACGACACATGTCTACAGCTGTAGTCTACATGTGCACTTCTAATTTTATGGGGCGATTAGTGAGAATCGCACACCAGCCGTTGTGCCAATCCCGCAATCCCAAGTTGTATGTATCCGGTACCAGTTGCACGACCGCATCTGACGGTTGGTTTCGACCTGGGCTTGTGTGTTGTCGGTGTTATGTACATGGCGTCGTTTGGAGCCACTTTTCGGTTGACGATGTTCGCGAAAAAGACGAAAAATCCCTCGTATGCACGCATAACAATATACATGCATATGTGGCACCAGACACCGTCGGCATCGTCGGCACGCGACGAAGCGCCGCGACGAAGCGCATTCGGCCACTATCTTCCATCTTTCGCACAAGGATTGACTGCTGCTACGTACCATGGGCACGAAACAAGAAACACTCACACATGTGTGAACGCGTGCACGCATGCGGATGTTGTAGCCGTGGCTATTCAACGTACAACGAGAGAAGAAAAAACACCACATGATGGAACGGGTAGTCTTTTGTGTGTAATGCTGTGTTTAGGGGGGGACGAACGTCCATATGTGGAGACCGCTCCCGTAACACACCAAAACAGGAGGTAGGACCAGTATGTGCGTACATGCGTACTACAATCGTTCTGCCCACTACATGCTGTCCCTGCATGTATGTGTGAGCCTTCTGCGCCGACACCTCGAGATGACTACTGCCGCGGCGTGTGCCTCCGGCCATATCAAGAAAGCTGCTTCCTTCACCCTGCTGTCCACTTGTTTCCGACGAATCTACGCACATTCCCGCATAGTCTCCGAACTGGAGGCTGCCGAACTTCGCAATTTGGAAATGTCGATAAAAAAAAAAACTCGAATAATAGCAGCAGCTACCCCCACCTCCAGGTAGGAAGCTTGGTTCACCCATGGTCTTCTATCGCTCCCAACAGCGCCGATCCCGCCCGGAAACTCCTTCCTTCCAAGGCTGCTCTCGCGGCAATAGCCTCTGTCATCCTGTGGTGTTGTAGGGTTCCTGGCAGCGGGCGAACTAGGCGAGGCCTCCACCAGCGTTCCCTCGTTGTCAGAACTGGAGCTGGCCCTCTTGCTCTGGCAAGCCCACGACCGGCGGTCTATCCCCATGGAGCAACGCGAAACCAGCAGGTTCTCCAGGCTAGGTTGGATAGAGCAGAAGGGTCGTGCAGCGTGATGCTTGTTGCGCCTGCCACACACCACAGCTGTGCTGCGCCCGTGGGTGCCGCGTGCCGCGCTCCCTCTGGCTGATTATTTTCTGTCAATTTTGTGTCGGTTCGAAATAAAACACGCCTCGCGAACTACCGTATTCCAAGATGCATCTGTTCTTGTAGTTCGGCAGCAGGCCCTCGTCCGGCGCCCCCCCCCTTATATCCTTCTGCAACCTTTGCTTACGTGGCTGCTCGCTGTCGCCTGTTTCACAGTCAGCAGATCGAACGCCCACAATGCTTTCCTCTCTTCGTCCACGGTGGTCTAGGGCCTCTGAATAACCCCGGCCTTTTCGTGCGGAATGGGTCAGCCGAAATGGTTCGTATCTGCTGCTGTAGCCTGTAGCCGTTGTTTTTGACGAAGCATTTCGAACGTGATCCCCGCGGAGGGTTGGTATGAAAGAACAGCAGTCAGTGTCACCAAAAGGGGTAATGATGAAAGATGAAAATAAAGCAGGCAGCAGCACCAGCCCCCTGCCAGCTGCGACGTTTTCCCAAGCCCGAACAGCTGACGTGTTCAACTCGAGGAGTCCAAAGAACCTCAACGAGCCAAAAGAAAAACACGCACTTTGTGTTCTTCGGCAGGAGCACAGCTTGTTTGCCGGAAGGACCAACGTTGCGGCACAGGAAGGGAAGGGACATACATGTAAATTGCCATCAGGGTGCTTCTTCATGTGGAACCGGGGTCAGCGCCGACTCTAGGGAATTACTCCGGGGGGGGGGCATTCGGTTGCAATATTGTAAGTAGGTATATTTCGTCGCCCGGAGACTTTTGCGGCTGGTGTGCATTCATTCACAAAATGTCACTCAATATGTAGGTACCTATTTTGTACCAGGTAGCGTATAGTTGCAAACCACCTTGGCTTTGTGGCGTCACTTTGCGCTTTGTGGTGCCGAGCTGTGATGAAGAGATTGCTCGTTGACGCCAGTCCAGACACGATAGTCTAGCGACCGCGCCAGGGACAAAGCCTGAGGGCAGAGCGACTATCACGGACGCACCGCCGGATCTCGCGGTTCTGTGTATCGATGCAAGGTAGGCGATCTATGTACCTGCCAGAGAGACGCTAGGGCATTTGATGCCCTTTCGGCGGAGAGGCATATGCGGCAAAAAGGCACAAGCAGCGAAAAGGGCATCCACATCGTCACGAAACTGCGGGGTGAGCGGTGTGTCTGACATCTAAGGGTTCGCCAAAGCCATACTGTACACATGATACAACAACCTTAAAGCACCTCTGGTGCCCTACTGCTGTCCTGGCAGCGACAAAACGCCAAAACCACCGTCGTCGTGTTTGTACCACATGGCGGGGTTGCTTTCGGGACCGTGGGCTCACGGTTAGGGGGTAACGATTGAAGCAAAAAAGCAAAACACAAAATTCCCAAGGAAATCAAGTCTGATTGACGTATCGGACGACCAACAGCCAAAAATGTCGGCGGGCAGAACGCGGTGTTTGCACGAAACTCCACCATAATCACTACCAGATACGTGATATTCATTACAGATGCTCCTCGCGCCCACTCCCGCGCCCCTCCTAGATCGGACCTGTTGCCCTAGCGCCATTCTACGCAGGAAATCATGACAAGGGGTAGCACCCTCAGATTGCCTTTGCCTCGATCCGCCTCTCAGAAAATCGTGTAGGGCACGTCTTCGTCTGGAATCCTCCTGCGAACAGAAGTTGCAATAGCAGTCCAAGAAAGACGTGGCAGCAAAATAGTTGCACGACAATCTCAGCCCGGGGACATAACGTGACCACGTTCGAGGTTTGGACTTCACAGCAGCCGCGCAACTAGCACGGTCCATGTGTTGTCCACCACGCGGAAACATGCGTACCCCCCATGAAACACACATCACGAGCTGGGTGACCCCAAACGCAGAAGGCGAAAAGCAGACTTTTCATTGCGGCTGGGAAGGAACAGAAACCTTGCCCTTCATTTACAAGTGCACGAACTCTTGCATATGTTCGGGCGACATCTCGAACCAACTCGCCTGAATACGGCCCAGTACTTGTCTCCCCCCATCCTGGCAACCTTCTTGCCCTCCTCGGTTACCTCCGTCATCGCCTTGACAGCCGGGTCCTTCTCCTACACCGCGGTAACAACAAAAATGGGGGCGAAAGGAGAGGGGCATCAAGACCAAGTGCGGAGATAAACGAGGGAAGGGGCGGAAGCGGGGGGGAGTAGAAAACAAAGCGGGAGCAGAAGAAGGGTGGAGAGGGCAAAAATCTGCAACTCGGGCTACACTACGTAGCCTGGCACGTATGCTCTCAAGACAGTGGAAGCACGTCTTTGACGATGGGCCAATACCGCCCTTCGATTGTATGTCTGCGATCATTATGGAACTTTTCCTTTCCTCTTTAGCAAAGAAGATTCACTACCGCGCCTCAATAAGTGTGGCTGTGAGGTTCGTCCTGAAAAAACGGCCCTAAACAGACGTCGAAGGTGTGCCTCCTCTACCGCGCTACCATACCACGACGCCAGCAAAAACACACATACAGTAGCTCTGGAAAGCCGCTCGCTTGCTCACCGCCTCTCCTCGCGGAACGGCCTCGAAGCAAGGATGTGCCTCCGCTTTCTCCACGTGCCACTGGTGCAGCTCCTCCACGTCTGCCAGCCAAACGATTCGCGAAGGGGGCATACCGCGTAAGTTCGGCGGCCGCGGAGGGGGGAGGGGAGGGGCGCTCCGTTCCTCTGTTCTGTGTGAATGTTCGCCGCAGCGCGTCAAGTGAAATTACAGAAAGCTCATACCCCACTTGAGTAAAATACACATGTCGAGATGCAGTTACAAACTGGAAGATGAATCTACACACGGCGATATCGAAAAGAATTGACACAATCGTTGAGTTTAGATACAAACTGCAGGAAATGTGCACGGAGCACCAACAACCAAAAGCAGCAGCAGCAGCAGCAGCAGCAGCAGCAGCAGCAGTAGCGGCAGCAATGACAGCAACAGCAGAAAAACCATCCATCAAATGCCAACATCGCCCGGGCAGGTCTGAAGTAAGTACACAACAACAACCCCGACATGTACTGTACCTGTGATCATATACAGAAGGCCGCCGGGCCGGAGGTAGAAGGCGTACTCCGTCAGCAACGGGACACTGTGAAGGACAAGTGGGAATAAACCAGATATCAAGACATCAGGCACGCGCGATGTGAACAAGGTTGCGATCGAGTTGAGACCGCTTTGATCAGATCGGACGCCTACAACGTATGTCCATTGCTGGGATAGGGGCACGTCTTAAAGGAATACGGACGGAGCCTCCGACGTGCTGCTGGACAGCGGCGACGAAGTAAGTTCCTCGCGAACCACAGAATGAAAGCTTAAGTTTCAGGTGTGGAAAATCATTCTCGCGAGGCCTGAACAAGCACAACCGCCGGTGGGCAGGCCAGCATGCATACACTTGTGCGCATCGACCTTGTTCCGCTGTATCGTGAAGCAAATCGTTCACAAAAAAAGTCATTTTTACACTGAAATCAGCGGTACCATGAAGAAAATCGTTCCTACTACTAGCCGTTTTCGCCCAAATTAAAATCATCACCAAGGGGTAGATAAAATCTGGCGGGTATGTTCGGGAGGAACCACTATCCGGTACAATAATTCAAAGCGAATTCCGAAGAGAACAGGAGAATAGTGAATTCACCCGAATGAACGCATGCCTAGTGAAATCGCACCGAGTCAACTCAAACCGAGTGAAATCATGCCAAACGATTGTGCTGCGTTGTCCGGGACACCAATCGAACCTAAGGTCCAGGGTTGCAGTCCGTAACGACGTAGCTAGTCGACAAAGTCAAACGATCGCGGAAAGAGAAACAACTACTCGGAACCAACCTCTCACGCACCTAATAATTCTCCGCCTGTGGTTTTTTGCCTTGAAATGCGGGTCCGGGAAGCAGAAGAACATCTTCTCCAGCTGATGTCTCTCCAAGAAATGCGGAAGAAGCTGCCAGTTCGATTTTTCGAAAGCCCGTCGCAGGGACCACCCAAACAAGCAAAACAACCAATCCAAACAGATCACCGCGGCCGGTGAGTGATATCGGGAAGGAGTGACATCGGGGATGAACGCAAGCCAGGCGTTGCGAGAGTACGAGAGCGAGTTGGACACGGATAGGCCGACCCTGCGAAACACAGCACTGCCATATATTCGCGTCAACCATTTCACAACCCGCTTAAGCAACGCAAGTCCAATCATCTCCGCAACCAACAAGCCCCTGGACTTGGCAGCAACCGGTATTTCACAAGCACTACTGCTGTTGGGTCGGCGAGGAAGCAGCAAGAGTGAATGCCGTTTTGCACATGGGACAGGATCGGGCGGCCACGAATCGACGGCAGGCCTCGAAAAAACGCAGTCACTCACGACTCACGAGCATCGAGTTGGTCCTGAGGGAGGAGACGTTCTGGTATTGGCCTGGGTTTTCCCGCCGGAGGGCCTCGACGCGTAGTCTCACGAACTCGCACACCTAACAAACAAGGAGATTTCCAACAAAAAATCAATCGTAATATTGTATGGGCGGAGGAGGGCAGGCAGACGCTCATGGCGTACGGGGAGGGACTGTTGCGCTGTTGAGAGCTATCGTCTCTCGCCCATACTTCTCCGTTATATCCGTCTTGTGCGGCTGTTGTCGTCATCGTGGACACGAGGGCATCTGGACTAAATATTGCACGATCGGCACATAACCCATCAGGGGCGACACTCGCAGTAAGCAAGCCCTAACGGGAGTGATCAGTAGGTGTAATAAACCTTTCCTTGAACAGGGCCCAAAGAACGATGACAAACGACAAGTGGGGACGAAACTTGCAACGGTCGCATCTGCCAGCGGGTGACCATCGCCTCGCACGCTTCAACTCTTTCGACAAGAAAAACAAAGTGAATAAAAATATTCCCTGGGGAAGAAGAAAAAAACAAACAGCAGAACTTGAACGTCATGCACGGCCATCATTCGTCACCGGCCATCAACAAAAAAAACTTTGAAAATGGCGCTACACTCCCATGAAAGTACGCGTCACAACTGGTGAAAGCAGGAGCTTCCATCTGACCAGGATGAACTCATGCCCATGTCAGGAAATTCACTGTCTCCCCGGCACGTCCTTGGCAAGACCAAGAGTCGCTCCGATGGGCAAGCCGACGGTCAAACGATCTCCACCCATCTGGACTAACCATGAAACCTAAATCTTCGTCCGTGCAACGCTAATCGAAACAACGAATCCTGGAGGGGGTGAACGACGTATCACAAAACTTGCAACCACCCACTGCTTCTCGCCATCACACGAAAAAAAAAGAAAATGTCATCGGTGCTTTAGGCGCTCAATTCACTCTAATTTACCCCAATCGTCATTCCGAGCACCCCCTGCATCTAGGCATCACTCACTCTTCTGACCCAAATGACCAATCCGAGCATTCCCTCGCACCCCAGGTACTACGCCTATAACTCCAATCGCCATTCCGAACACCCCCTTGTACCCAATGAAAAAATCACTCACATGTACCCGCATAACCATCCAGGCACTCAATTCACCCGCCTATACCACGATCTCTATTCCCGAGCACCCCCTTGCATCCAGGCACTCACTCACTCCCCCGCACCACAGGATATATGTTCCGAGTACCCCCTTGCATCCATGCACTCATTCACTCTCGCTTCCCCTAAAATCTCACTCCCCAAACACCACTTGCATCCACACTCACTAGCACTTACCAGAACCTCTATCCAGAGCAATGCATCAATTCAACCCCTTGCATCCTTGCACTCATCTGTTCGCATTCACCGAAAAAAAATCACTTCGGGCACCCCACTGCTCCAGGCACTATTTCACTCACCTTGACCCGAATCTCCATTCCAAGCACCCCCTTGTCTGGGAAGAGCGGGGACAACGCTACCGTCAGCCCCCCGAACCCGCACCCGACGTCCACTATGCTGACCTGAAGCCGAGGGGGAAAGGCGGAGCAGAAACGCGCACGAGGGTGTTGAGTAGGTGTGCTGTCCTTGAATCAGGATTGACCGCCCGCCTTGTGCGGAGTGCAACCTAGGATCGACCTTCATGCTCGTTTGTGTGTGTTTGTGTGCCGTCCCTTTGAATAACGCGGTCGGGCTCCCCTTTCTCTTGTGATTGCGTCGACTTCCAAGCAACGTGTGTGTGTGTGCCTTCCTGTTTTATACCGCGGTCGGTCTTTTTCGGTTGTGGTTGCATCGATCGCCAGGCGCTCTGCCATCGAGCTATACCTGGTGCCGACGGAACGGCGTGAGTGTTTCTAGGAATGAACAAATGGCACGGGCCAGTCGCCAACACACCGACCAATAATGAAAAAAACGACGCCAAGTCTCCCCCCCCAAGAGAAAAACGGGCGGAAAAATTGTGGTGTTGCATTAATCAGCGTCGATCGGGTACCTTCGGCGTACCAATGCGGTTGTGGGCGCGTGAAAGCTTGAAAACACTGTCATCTATATCTGGGGCAGAGAATCGCAGGAACGGACACGCCGACGCTAGCGGATTGCTCCGAATAGAAGCGAAGACAGGTCGGAAATAGGGTGACCCACGACGGGGTAACGATGCTATTTTAACGAAACGGGAGCGGATACCGCAGCGACAATAGGTACATGGCGGCCCTGTATCCGTGTGTTTCGAATGCGGAGACTGGATAGGTTGTGTCGACCAACTTTCTTCGCCTCCACCGCCCCCGCTGGAGGACCCTGATGACTAGAAAGCGCGTTTGCTCTCTTTCATCCCGCTACAAGACTGGCGCCTTTTCAACGGTTAGCCTGCTAGCGCCTTGGACCTACCCTGACTAAAAAATTACGCGCACACTCGTAAATGATTGGTAGGAGAGGTACACACATAGCATCCTGGGCGACGCCCATTCTTTCAACTTCGGGTATATTAGACTTGGGGGTCTTTTCATTTGTCCACCGGTTGCAGCGGTCGACGCCAACTCAACAAACGCAAACCCACGCACAAACAAAGCCGCTGTGAGACAGGCGTCTTTTCATTGATCAGCAGTGTAGCGAGGTCGATGCCAACAACAAAGACGCACGCACACACACCTTGAGCCCTGGGCGGTTCGGGTAGTGAACGGACCAATCCATCTCCTTGGGAGTCTTGGGGCTTTGGGTGAGGTGTTGCACGAGGAGGGCATGAGCAGGGAAGACGACGACGACGACGAAGACAGATTGGGTTAGCAAGGATAAATAACGTACACTTCGAAGGCATCGACTCGCTATGCATAGGAAGGAACAGAGAGAGAGAGAGAGAGAGAGAGAGAGAGAGAGGGAGAGAGAGAGAGAGAGAGCGAGAGAGTTGTACATACGTGCGACGCCAATAGCACCTGACGGTCGCACACGTAAGAGAACTTCCGACCACCATCGACACACGAAAACGCCCCCAAAATACCACCTGGGGGCCATTAGCGCAACAAACAAACCGCAGCAATCCTGAAAATGAAAGAAAGGTCCGCTCACTATTCGTAGCAGTCGTTGTGCGAAAGAGGGTTGACGTGCGCCCTGGCCCGGTAAAAGCGCTTCTGAGGCATAGCCCCCTCGATCGTAATAGGTCCAGTGTCGTCCTCAGAGCGCTTCTTGGCCTTTCCCCGCGGTCCGCCCCCAGCCTGGCAGGAGGTCAAATGAGAGACAAGGGCAAACATTCAAAAAGCAGGGGCGGTTTTGGGCATCAGGTTTAGTGAAAATAGGGTACGGATTGTATGGCATGAAGACAACGTCCACTATCGTTCTATCACTCGACCAGTCTCCATCAACCCCCGTCAGACCTCGACTAGTCTGGCTTCGGGTGCATGGATGTACCTTCGAACCTGTGGGTGTGACTCTTCCCAAAGTGACGGTTACGTTATTGCGTCGATTCGACAGGCTACTGGTCCATGTGTATGGATTGCTGGGTTGTGGTCTCGCAGAGGCCCACTCCTTTCTCTCTGTTCTTTTTCGGTCCCTTCCTTGGGACGAAAGAGACACTACTCAACATGAAACAACATCCATTGACCAGCTGTTCGGTCATGCTAACCGGTGCGAGGATACCGAACAGAACCAAAGAGTCTACCTGAGCCGAACCAAACCACGCACGCACCCCTCTTGTCTCGCGGCCTCTGTGTCGCCTCGCTGAATCACTGACGTTGTGTGATTGAGGACAATACCCTTTGCCCTTGGCAACAAACGGAAGCACACAGGAGCATGGTCTCCACGATCCGTTCACCTTCTTGACGGGCACAGTCTCGCCCATTTGGCACCTGGGGTGC